CTACTCATAGATGAGGGATGTGAATTCTTTTTCAAAGAGATAATGTTAGTGATGAAACTTCTTGACTGTGAGGCGTATCAAGTTACCTTAGCATAAAAAGTACCTCCTGTCAGGTGGTTCCTGGTAGCTGTGTGTGTACATATTCTAAGCCCACAGCTCATCATTTGTTCTTCAATTTGCAACTTAACCTGCTTTTGCACTAAGTTAAGTGATAGTGTATCGCTTCAAATGCTTGCTGGGGGTGAGAAGTATGCATGCGTAGTGAAGGGCAGGTGATGTACATTGAGTTAAGTCACAGTATATAAGGAATGGCATGCACGTCCTGAAAGACAGCAGGATAAGCACCTGAAACAGTTGTGATGAAGCACAGCCTGAAGTGCCACGTTTAGCTATGAAGTCCAATTGCGCTAAGAAGTAAAAGAGCAAGCCTTGTTCCAGGCAGGAGAGAGCACAGATAAAAGATGTAGGTGGAGGAGAAAGCTGAAACAGTAACAGCCCTTAAGGTTCCCCGTGGTTTCCTTCTTGTTTCTCCACTTCCTCATCTCCCAGTCATCCTTCTTTAGCCTCTGGCTAGCTCTACCATAGGACACACTCCTCCAGAGTTAAGAAGTTGTTAGCATGCATGCTTCTTAGCTCACGTGTGGATGTAGAAAACCTTTCTGACCTCTTTGCAAGCAGTTCAGCTGGAGTACTTGGGTGTGCTGTTGGGCCAGTTGGCTGGGACTGCTGCAGGGTTTGAACCTTATGCCTGTAGGCCCAGGCGTAACAGCAGTAGGAGGTGCCTCTATCCCAGTGCACCTCTGCTGGGCAACTGCAATAGCTGTGCAGGAATGGCATTGTTTGCAGTAAAGGGAGTTTGTGACTCATTAGTCTCTTCTGTTCTATTTCAGATCTTTTCAGGCCTCTTAGTAAACCTCCCTTCTGTAATGGGCTGGCTGAACTGGCTCAAGTACTTCAGCATCCCCCGATACGGCCTTACTGTGAGTAGAAAGTAGCATCAGTCTCCTGTGAGTAATGTAGCCACATTGCTGCTTCCTGGAGAGATTTTGAGTATAAATTAAGTTCTCTTGAAAGTCAGATTTATTTATTTTCCTTGTATGAATATGGTAAAAGAAGAACAAACCAGCCAGCCCCCAAAAGCATGCCAAAGTTAATCTCTGTGTAAGAGGTGGAAGTTTCAGAGATTGAACAAATCCTTTGTGCCACAAAATTAGTGCCACCTGGACAGCAGCAGAGTGAGCTGTCCAGTGAGGCACTTAATTCCTAGCCTGAATAGTGATCCCTATGGTTTAGAATAAAGTCAAATGTTGTATGGCCTCTCCAGAGACTGTTGTTTGGGGGGCCGGTCTGAGGTTAATGACTGTCCAACCAGTTAAAGGATTTACCATAATCCTGAGTGTCTCAGTCTTCGGTGTGGCTTCCTCTGAAGTGAAATATGACTTACTGCCATTTCTGAATAATAAGGAGCTAGGGTACCAGAAAGCTAAGGGTGCAGCTGCTTGAAACACTGTAATTAGACGTAGGAGGTCACCCACTGGTCACAGGTGGGAAGCACAGGTTGTGCTTCCATCTCCTGTCTTCATTCTGGCCAAGCCTATCTGGGATGAATAGTTTTCTATCTCTGAGTAAAAATGAGTGAAATGAATGCCAGAGCTGGTGCAGGGTCGTGTGGGCAGGACCATGTTGACCACCAGTGGAAGAGAGAGGTAGGATCAGGGAGGGGGGGAGATGTGTGAGACTTCCCCTGTTTGGATATCACCGAGATACTTTTATCAGTGTTGCTGAACACGGAAGCGTCCCCTGAGACTGCAGTTAGCCCAGGTTGCCAGTGCAGGGGAACCCTTCCCCTCTTGCCTTGGCTGACTTTGCCATCTGCTTCAGTGCTGGTGCTGGAGTGTCTGCATGCAGCCACATGGTTTTCTGGGTCAGTAGCTTGACCCAGATGAAAATGAATGAACAGGAGCTTGTAGCTGGCAAGACAGAAACCCATGGCTCAATCACTGAAATGTAACTTTGAAGCCAAAGACTCAGACACCAAACCATTCTGCACATAGAACTTGGAGCAGTTCCTCAGAAAGGCAGTGATTAAAAGCTTCAAAATAAAAAGGATCATAAACATACAGTTCCAATGGTGTTACGTGTCTTCTAATAATCAAATTCCTTCAAGATGTTTCAGTTTTAGCACCTCAAATCACTAACTGTAAAAATCTGATGTCTGCCTCTTTCCCTAGGCTCTTCAAGTGAATGAGTTCAGAGATCTCTATTTCTGTGGTGAGAAGAATCCAAATGTTACAGCATCTGTGGGAGATGTAGACAGTTGTCCCCCTGATATTTCAGGAGAAATGTAAGTCTCTAACTCATGGTGGTTCTTGGGCCTGATTTGTGATGGCTTGCTTAGAGAGAAGTCTGACTGTTTCAAATTTTTATATTATTCACAGAATAACCACTCACAGGCCAGTCTCAATAATATGTCCCAAAATAATGTATTTTAGGAGTATGTAATAAAACCTCACAATTACAGAAGAGTGAAGTAGGGATGAAACTTTACTCCTAAAAATAGGCAGATGAGCTAAATTGACTTTTGTCTTTGATAGCCTAGCCCTGGCTTATCAGTTTTCTTAAACAAACCCAGGGCCATTTAGCAATGGAAATGAAATGTGTGGACAGCTACAAAGTTGTTGGTTAGCAGTAGACCTGTGATCAGAAACATGCCTGCCCCTCAGAGCAGAGTTCTAAATATTAACCTCCCTGCAGATACAGCAGCAAGCCAAGGTATCTATCTCCCCGTGCTACTGCCCCATTTGAAATATTCTTGACTATTTTAAGAGTATTGTACAACTTAGGTTGTAGCAACATAAGTATTTCGTGACACATGCTGGAGGGCTGGCAAACTGAGGTTATTGCAGAGAATGGTGCTAGAGCACTGTTTCCACAGCTTTTGGATCCCAAACCCTGCTACGACCTCCAATGATTGCTGCGTGAAACTAATGCTTTTGTACTTAACACAGTTCAATGTGGTTCTGAGGTTTACTCGTAAATTGCCAGCTATCTATAAACAACACTTAGGATTGTACTGAAAAATGATGAGAACCAGAGATCTAGATTTGTCCCTTAAGCTTTTTTTAGTGATAGCTTATGAAGTTACTCTACTTCTGTCACCTGTTTTGCAGAGTTGAGGGTTGAAGAATCTTTGTGGAACAGGAATAAAAGTAACTACCTGAAGACTTGCACCACATAGTAATACCAGCTTCTTCCCCATGCTTTTCTGCAGGTGTTCTGGTGAAGCATACCTGTGCAGCCAAGGAATCGCACCTACCAACTGGGCAATGTGGGAAAATATAGTGGCTCTCGTCTGCATGACTGTTATCTTCCTTATCATTGCCTATGCGAAACTCCGGTTTATGAGAAAGTTCACATAGACTCCTGCAGTGCCTTGCTCTGCAGCTTCTCTAATCTTAAAACTGCAAAGCTTGTTAGGGCGTACTGGAGATTGCCAAAAGATTTCAGCTGACTTTACTGGACTTCAGATGGGAACCCTGTCCCCTTGTTTCTGGAGCACGAACTCCACACAACTGTATGATTTTGGTTTTTAAGAAGAAATGCATTAATGTACATTGCGTAAGTGTTTTTTTGTAAGAGAATATAGTTCTCATAATTCCTTAGGTACATATCAAACTGTATATTGTAAAGCATTATTCTTCTGTGGCCAACTTACACAGGAAATGTTCAAAGGGAAACATTTTCATTTGAATATGTGAGCTTCTAAATCACAAGTGGTGTAAGGTGATGATGGCATTTATGCATTGATATGTTGCCCCTTGTTAGTGCCTGTCACATGTGAGGAGAGCCAGAGACCGTTCACAGCGTGTTGGAGATGCATTTGAGTTTGAAGTCAGTACAGGGAATGAATGCTCCTTGCCAAGCAAGAAGAGTTATACTTCTAGTAGCTTCTCAATGGGAGCTACTTGCAGAAACAACTTTTGCTTGATTAAAAACTAAACAGTAGTGGTGTTAAGACATCTCATCTAAGAATAGTGACAAATATATATTGTTGTACTGTAAAAAAACCCAAAACAAACCACCCCTCCAAACCCTGGCCCCCCCCCAGCAAAAAATACATTTACTGCTTAAGAGGAGGGGAGGAAATTCCCTTTTTTCTTTTAATAAAAATTTGTATACTTAGCAATGGCAGATCTTTTTAACAGACTTAATGCTTAGCTGCACCATCTATACATAGTGGTCCTTATACTATCATCTGAAAAAACTCCTGTAGACAGTGTTGTGGCGTGCCAGCAGTTGTCTCCTCACCACATCATCAGCAAAAGCAGAGCTGCTTTTAAGCTGCATTAAGACCCTCAGATCCAAGTGGACCAGCTAAGCCAAAGGAAAACATCCTCAAACGCAAGGATGGCTTGCTTGTGAAGGCCGGGCTAGCAGCAGCCCTTGAGACTGGCCTGCAGTCCGAAAGTGCTTCCGGTGCTCTTGCAATAAATGGTTCAGTCGTGGCATTAGAAAGAGGGAAATAATCAAACTGAGAGCGCAGCTGCGTCAGGCACAAACCGTGCTCTTTCTGTGCTGCTTCACTGCCTTCTACAGCTGGTAAGAAGTAAACTCGTGCCCCGTTTTACACCTCGGTGTTTGTCTTTCTCCTCCAGCCGTGATGACGGTCGTTTGTTCTTGCTTGTTCGCGCCACCGAGGCTGTCCCCCGCCAGACACCTCACGCACGCGGTGGCGGACGCCTCCCCTCACGACGCGTACAGAAGCAGGGAAGGGGGGGCAGGCCCCGGATCCAGGCGCGGGGCGGCTGTCAGGCCCCGGCTGCCGCGTGGCCCGGCGGGGAGCGGGCCGGAGCCGGCACGGCGGTGGCATCCC